ACATCACTGCCTAATGCATTCCATTTGTCAACTACTCTGACACTGAAAAAAGTTCTTTCTAACGTCTCTGTGGGCTCATGTGGGTACTCAGTCTCCACCTGTGTCCCCTTGTTCGCGACCCACCAGTGTTAAACAGTTTATCTTCGTGTGTTCCTTGCATGTTTGTGTCTTCTATTCTTAAATAAGAAATGGGAAGGATGTAGAAGTTAGAAGTTTAATAAACGATCCGAAATCTAATTTCCTACTGAGAATGCACGTCATCCCCCCCCCCACGTCATCACAATATAAGACGTCACCATCAGTCAATCACCTCCCCCCGAAATACCAACCACCCCCCCCTCCCTCCCAACCCAACCACGACAAAAATGACCAATGAGATCGCTGAGCGATACCACGTCGATCATTACCACCGGGTACCTCCCCCAGCCAGGAAGAGCACTCGACCTTACCTCGAACCCCATACCACGTCTGCCTCCTCCTCCTCCCGACCAATTCAAGGTATCGCGTCTTCACCTCAAGAAGGCCGCAGTGAGTGAAGCAGTATCGAAAACCAATTATAGGAGATGTCGAAACTAATTATAGGAAATTGTGAGCAGAATTGATTTTTTTTTGGGGGGGGGGTGAGGGGCTATAGAATTGTGTTACGATCTCACATTATTGAAAAATATATGTTAAACAATATATTAGCTATAAGGAACAAATCCACAAGGGCAGTGACGAGGATTCGAACCTGCGTCTGGGAGCATCCCATGTTAGCTATAAGGACTCGTTATTTGCAGTGTTATTTATGCAGTTTAGTCAAGGGTTATTATGCATGGCATTATAGATTTGCTTATATAATAGGAACTAGTTTGCGAAACTAGAATTGTCTAGTTACAGGATGGCGAGTCCAGCGGCGTAAGGTAAAGCCAAAGTTCCACCCCGCTGTGCTTGGTCATAATCAGAGGAAAAGTACTGTCCCAAGATCAAGTCCGATCCCAAAATCAAGTCCTATCCCAAACTTTCGGTCGTGATAAGAGCTCTCTCTCCAGGCTAACCATAGCCCGTGCTACTTTCCCCGTTCCTGTGCCAGGTTAGTCCACTACGGGCTCACCATAGCCCGTGCTACTTGCCCCGTTCCTGTGCCAGGTTAGTCCACTACGGGCTCACCATAGCCCGTGCTACTTGGAACTTATGTTCCGAGTAGCTGAATCTCTAAACAACAACACAATCTCTCTCCCTCTCATAAATATCTCTCTCATCTCTCCTCTATATCTCTCTCTCTCTATCTATCTCTCTCTCTCTCTCTCTCTCGTCTCTAGATATATCTCTCGCTATATCTCTCTCTCTTCTGCTCCTCTCTCTCTGTCTCTCTCTCTCCTCTCTATCTCTCTCTCTTCTCTCTATCTCTCTCTCTCTCTCGTCTCTCTCTCTCTCGCTCTCTCTCTCTCTCCTCTCTCTCTCTCTCTATCTCTCTCTCTCTCTCTCTCTCCTCTCTCTCTCTCTCTCCCTCTCTCTCCTCTCTCTCTCTCTCTCTCTCTCTCTCTCCCTACTCACCTGGTACCAGCCTCTGCCACTCCATCGCTACCGGAGCTGCTTCTTCTGCTGCCCGCCCCACCATCGCTCCCTCCACTTCCCCTCCTCCCTCCGCCCTCCATGGTGAGTTTAGGGGGCCCTCCGCCCCCAGGGGCCCCCAGGGCACCCATGGACATGACCCCAACGGAGGAAGAAGACATCTTGGTGCCAGGTGGGGTCCAAGGGCCTCCTGGTGGGGTCCAACGGCCTCCTGGTGGGGTCCAAGGGCCTCCAGGGAGTGTACAAGTGCCACTCAGAGGCTGAGGCACGAGACCTGTGGTTAAGAGAGAGATAAGATACGGTGTTAAATTTTGGAGAAAAAAATAGATTTTTTTTATTATATTTATAATATGAATACTTATTATTTTCATTATCATTTATTATCTATTATTATCATTATCTATTATTGATACTGTTGTTTAGACCATAAGAATAAAGCTAACTGTAAAGGACGATTGATCCATACTAATTACCTATTTATATCCATTCAAACTTAAGGCATGAATATGTTTAACCTACGCTTGAAACAATCCAGCGATCTCACACCTATTCTCATTCTGAACTTATATAAGTTGTGTCCACTGGTTCGTGTTATATTTTGCGTGATTTCTTGGGAATAATAATTAGGCTTTATTATTTTCACTAAAGTGAGGTTTCTAATTTGTTTAGATTAACGTAAGGAAATTTCTAATTCCTGGGATTAACCTGAGAGATGATTCTAATTTCTGGAAATAATATAAGGGAGGTTTCTAATGGTTGTGATTAATATAAGGGAGGTTTCTAATGGCTGTGATTAATATAAGGGAGGTTTCTAATGGCTGTGATTAATATAAGGGAGGTTTCTAATGACTGTGATTAATATAAGGGAGGTTTCTAATAGATGTGATTAATATAAGGGAGGTTTCTAATGACTGTGATTAATATAAGGGAGGTTTCTAATGACTGTGATTAATATAAGGGAGGTTTCTAATGGCTGTGATTAATATAAGGGAGGTTTCTAATGGCTGTGATTAATATAAGGGAGGTTTCTAATGGCTGTGATTATATAAAGGGAGGTTTCTAATGGCTGTGATTAATATAGGGAGGTTTCTAATGGCTGTGATTAATATAAGGGAGGTTTCTAATGGCTGTGATTAATATAAGGGAAGTTTCTAATGGATGTGATTAATATAAGGGAGGTTTCTAATGGCTGTGATTAATATAAGGGAGGTTTCTAATGGCTGTGATTAATATAAGGGAGGTTTCTAATGACTGTGATTAATATAAGGGAGGTTTCTAATGACTGATTAATATAAGGGAGGTTTCTAATTCCAGGGATTACATTTTTCAATTTTTTCTGAGCACGTTCAATGGAATCTATGTCCACTGTATAATAAAGTGCCCAAAACCGAACTGCATTAACTACAATTGACCTTAAGCCCCAAGCCAGACAGACCCGGCGCCCTTAAGCCCCAAGCCAGACAGACCCGGCGCCCTTAAGCCCCAAGCCAACAACTCCATGCAAGGAGAAGTCAATATTACGTTCAATAACAAGGCGGAAGTGATCGCCTTAATAATTAAGGTTCAGTGCCCTCCTGGTTTCGTGATAATTGCCGCTTGTATTCCTCGAACCAGCGCTACGAGGCTTCTACAGCTCTCTTTAAGGAATTAGGAGGAAGCCATAAATGAAATTTTCATCGCGGGTTAATATTTTCATGTTAAATGTCTTAATAGTTTGGTGTTGAGCTTGTTAATCTATCTTGAGGTTATCTTGAGATGATTTCGGGGCTTTTTTAGTGTCCCCGCGGCCCGGTCCTCGACCAGGCCTCCACCCCCAGGAAGCAGCCCGTGACAGCTGACTAACACCCAGGTACCTATTTTACTGCTAGGTAACAGGGGCATAGGGTGAAAGAAACTCTGCCCATTGTTTCTCGACGGCGCCTGGGATCGAACCCAGGACCACAGGATCACAAATCCCGCGTGCTGTCCGCTCGGCCGACCGGCTCCCAGCTATGAAGGGGTTTTGTGGCCACAGCTTACTGACGTGTGAGTTTACCTTAGTCCTGTATATAGTCCACGACTAGGGTAAACTCTCAGTGTGTACATATGTATCCCGAGAAAATTTACTTTAGTTATCCCTTTTCATATTTTCTATTTAATATTATTGATAATCTCCTCTGAATTGCATAGCTTTTACGAAGAATAGATGATAAAAACATTATTATTATTATTATTATTATTATTATTGGATAAAAACACACGTGTATTTATGAAATTTATGTAAGGAATTTACACCAAGTCTTTCGCACTCTCCTGAGTGATTTGTCAAAGTCTGAGTGAGTGATTAAGACGTGACTTACATCTCAACGTCTAATCAAGACTAGACCATGACATGGTACAAGGATTGCAACTGCAATAGGATTTCTACTGAACATTGTGCTAAAATAATCCTGTTCCGGATTTAGTAGAAAAGCCTCAGAAAACCCTCTTGTGTTCAGTAGCACTCCAGGCTGCAAGCCTTATACTATGCTGTGGTCTAGAAGCGTGTGTGTGTCTGTTTGGGAACACCCACCGTATAGGTTCGAACCCTCTTCACGGCTCCTACGGATTTTGTCATTGATGCAGTCACGTTTGTGTGATAACTCTGTGTATTAGTATTATTAATTATTGTTCACACGCCAATTTCAAACACCAAATTTTGACCTATTTTATTTTTAATATTTCATCTTTGAGAATGAACGATAAAAAGTTTCTAAAGATAGAACTAAAAATCCTCTTCTTGCTGCCACCAGATCGTGTTATCATGGAAGATAAGGAGGATACTTGTGTCCTCTCCTGTGTGGTGAGAGTTAGTGCCTTGGAAAAAAAATATGGTTTGGAATATGTCACATATGTACTTATTTATATGCGAAATAGTGACTATACGCAATAAGTCCTATATGTGCTGTCTTGTGCGAGAGCGGGTTGGGTGAGGACACATGTGTGGTTAGAGGGGGTGTAACAAAACAGATCCGTTTTCTTTACTGTTCATAATAAAAATCCGTTTTTTTGTGCTGCTTATAATATAGATCCGTTTTCAATAATAATTTAATGAAGTGAATTTTTCTGTAATATTTATAATAACGTTTTCTGTCAAAATTAAAATTAAAATTCGAGCCCTGTCATTCAGAAAAACAAATATTATTATATATTTTATATTTTATTTTTATACAAAATTACCAAGTGTTCCTGAAATTATGGACCACACTGATTCGTCATTATTTAATAGGCTGTAATTTAAACAATTTGTACTTAAAATATATCTGTAATTTATTCTTTATGCTGTAATCTCAGCACAAAATAAATAAAATTCGGCTGCCACCCACACGAGTCTGGCGAAGCAAAATCTATACCATTTAAAAAGCATATACTTCAAGCTCTGTGAATAGCTCGAGTCATTACATTAAGGCTAAAGAAATCGCAGCTCGACTATGGAAGCACGTCTAGATGAGTACTTATAGGTGTAGACATTAGACATAGACAATATATATATATATATATATATATATATATATATATATATATATATATATATATATATATATATATATATATAATATATATATACCTGCGTTGAGCTTAATTGCAAAAAAGCAAGGTATGGAATGCAATTAACTTTCCAGTCTGCATAGCCCATCCCCTCCCCCTTCCCCTCCCTTCCCTCCCCTTCTTCCCTGTCCCCTCTACTCCCCCTACCCTCCCTAACATTCCCTCGTCCGCCACATCCACTCTATATAGCTCCCCTCACTCTCCCCTACCCATCAATATTCTCTCCCCTCCCCCCAAATCCAACCCTTCCCCTCCTCCCCTTCATCGCTCCCTCCCCACCCCTGGAACACCCCTTCCCCCTACCCTCCTACCCCTACCGGGTCTTACTGTACAAGCATGACAAAATACAAATGGTACAAGACAACTTATTCATATTTTTGTGGGGCTCTCGTGTGCAAGGAATTATCTTTCAGTATTAGTGATGAGGTGTGAGGGGGGGGGGCAGAGCATGCGGCGTGCCTGCAGCCCTGCTCCAGCGTCTGTTTGGACGTCTGTGTGCGTTCTTGTACGTCTGTGTGCGTTCTTGTACGTCTGTGTGCGTTCTTGTACGTCTGTGTGCGTGCTTGTACGTCTGTGTGCGTGCTTGTACGTGTGTGTGCGTGCTTGTACGTGTGTGTGCGTGCTTGTACGTGTGTGTGCGTGCTTGTACGTCTGTGTGCGTGCTTGTACGAGTGTGTGCGTGCTTGTACGTGTGTGTGCGTGCTTGTACGTCTGTGTGCGTGCTTGTACGTCTGTGTGCGTGCTTGTACGTCTGTGTGCGTGCTTGTACGTGTGTGTGCGTGCTTGTACGTGTGTGTGCGTGCTTGTACGTCTGTGTGCGTGCTTGTACGTCTGTGTGCGTGCTTGACGTACGTGTGTGTGCGTGCTTGTACGTCTGTGTGCGTGCTTGTACGTCTGTGTGCGTGCTTGTACGTCTGTGTGCGTGCTTGTACGTCTGTGTGCGTGCTTGTACGTCTGTGTGCGTGCTTGTACGTCTGTGTGCGTGCTTGTACGTCTGTGTGCGTGCTTGTACGTCTGTGTGCGTGCTTGTGCGTCTGTGTGCGTGCTTGTACGTGTGTGTGCGTTCTTGTACGTGTGTGTGCGTGCTTGTACGTGTGTGTGCGTTCTTGTACGTCTGTGTGCGTTCTTGTACGTCTGTGTGCGTGCTTGTACGTCTGTGTGCGTGCTTGTACGTCTGTGTGCGTGCTTGTACGTGTGTGTGCGTGCTTGTACGTGTGTGTGCGTGCTTGTACGTGTGTGTGCGTGCTTGAACGTCTGTGTGCGTGCTTGTACGTCTGTGTGCGTGCTTGTACGTGTGTGTGCGTGCTTGTACGTGTGTGTGCGTGCCTGTGCGAGAGCTGATTAAAGCTGGTGTTATCTGGTGTCGCGCGGCGGTCCTGCTGACGTGCTGACGCGCTGACGTGCTGCCATGCTGTCATGCTGCCATGCTGTCATGCTGTCATGCTGTCATGCTGCCATGCTGCCATGCTGTCACGCTGCCATGCTGTCATACTGTCATGCTGTCATGCTGTCATGCTGTCATGCTGTCATGCGCTGCAGTGCGGTATTACACGTTTTTGTTTAGGGACAGTTCTTAGCCGGGCTGTTGGTGACCACCTACTGTCACGTTGTCCCCGGCTGTTGTGTGGCCTTGTCCTCGGCTGTTGTGTGGCCTTGTCCCCGGCTGTTGTGGCCTTGTCCCCGGCTGTTGTGTGGCCTTGTCCTCGG